AGGTGTTCTGCTACTGCAGGTTCAGAAAGATCTACTTCCTGCTTTGCTGTGACATCTAAAGTACAAGCTCTCTAGAGATCAAAGGTGAAGTGTAATTCATAAATAATAACAGCATTTATTTCTCCATATAGGGAAAACCACTACATGATCTTCAACAGACTCAGAAATCTTTATGAGACAGGAACACATTTCTGTCCTGTTCAGTATCCACAATTCCAATACAATTTGTATCCTGTACTCCTTGGCTCTCACTCTTACTCCCCAAGACATACATACTCACTTACTGGCACCACCTTCTCCCAGGTGCTTTGTGCTGCCACGACAGCAGAGAGGTTGGTTTTTCTCTCCTCCTCATACTCATCCTGGGAGTTGCGGATGAGATCCCTGTACGCAGCCAGACAATCGTCATAGCGCTCCAGTCTGTACAACTGAGAAAGGAAAGGGATTAGCCCTCAGAACAGTATCCTTCTGCTCATGCTGGTAACTACAGCCTCCTTCCTCCCTCCCCATGGACTGGGGGCACCGTATGTTTTAAGCTGAACATTACTAACATTTGCATCTACCTTTAAGGGCAATCTATATAGACTACACTTGCAAGGACTCGAGCAATGACACCAGATACCTGCACAAAAATGACACAGCTCCTACTCCTAAAACAGCTTCTTTAAAAGCAGCAGTTTACTCAGTTTTGTCCTCAAACAGCCTTCTTCCAAATTAGATCGCCTCTCTAAGAAAGAAATTAAATGAATGGTCTTTCATGCAGCTGAGAGAAGATAGCCAATTCTTCACAAAACTGTTCTGATCAACCAGGAAAAAAAGAAGGGGAAAAAGCATAACTTCTTTTCCACATCACTTTTAATGCCTGAGACATCAGGTCCCACAAACCATTCCTGAACAGGTATCTAATGCAAACAGATAGCTGAACCACAAACAAATCCCATCAGATCTCTTCCTTCCTCAACCAGATGGCTAATATCAGGCCAGACCCAGGAAGGGAGCAGAAGTCACAAATATATTGCTTTGGTTCTGTGGGAATAAGATGATGACACTGCCTCCAGAAACAGGTAACTGAAAATTCACAGAAGTTTGAGCAGCTGGAACCATACCTCTCCTTACCTTCACACCAGAGAAAGAAATTCTGTCCCCATACTTGCCTCCCATTAGAGGGGGGACAAGGCATCCAGCATATGAAACTCCCACCAGGAAGAAAAGCTTGTAATTACCACTTGTCCATAAAGCTCCTTCAGTTTGTCTGTCTGCTGACTGGCACTCTGAATGGTCTTGAGAGCACTTTCAATACGGTTCAACCTGTATTCACAGTAGGCCTTCTCAAAGGCAATAACATCACTGCAAGGACAAGACAAAGGCTGACAGCAAGCACTAGAGTTTCATTCAACAGCATTCACTCACATATAACCAGCCCCAACTAGTCACAGACTGCTAAATAACCAAAAATCCAAACACATGATCCCAGATTACTGAATTATGTATCTGCTGAGCACTGTAAGTATCTTCTATCTACCTGGTGTTCAACAGAGAAAGCAGGTAAAAACTTAATCCAAAAAAAAGGTTCCCTTTTAATGGCATTTCCACACACATGGTATTCTAAATCCTCTCTGCTCCAGGCCGCCTACTAATTATGCTAATCAAATGCTTAAAAGGTAAAACAATAGCAAACTTCATTCCATGACATTTTCTTAAGAAGGCATTACATTGCAATGAAACATTGTTACAGCAAACTTTTAAACACAATTGACTCACAGAGAGAGAGAGGAAAAGGTATAAAACACAGCCCCACTTACAGGCCGATACCAAGACAAAGGTAACATTAACCTATTTTGAAATATGATTGCAGCAGAACTGCAGCAAAAGGGTTTGCCTCTGCCAACATAAACTGGCTTCAAAGCAAGCTCAGACCAGCAGGGAAGCATTCTCAAAGAAGCAGAGCCTTGAATGCTGTGTTCTGCCTACCCCTCTGAGTTACCACTTAACCCAAAGGAAAATTAATCAGCAATTCCTTTAGTTCATGCCTGGGGCCACTTATTATCAAGCTTTACTTTGCCTATTTAAAATGATCTCAATTCAACTGAGTATTAAGGAAGTTTGAAAATTAATGGCATTTGGAATTAAATCAAAGCAGCCTCAGTGCAGGATAGGAAAACTTCAAGACAGACCAAGAACCACCACTCTCCTTGCTCCACAGGACACAGACACACAGCAGAATGAGCCGAAAGAAGTTACAGGAAGAACTTGGAAACCAGCTGAATACAAAAAAAAAATTTCTTCTCTTTACCATATAATAAAATAATAAGCTAAAAAACTTGAACTAAACCCCTTTTGTCCTGGGAAAGAAGGAACTGGTGAACAGGGTAATTATGTGTTATTCAGATGCAAACAAAAACAAAGGTATGTTTCATCACACTGATAACTTCAACACACCTTTCTGGGAAGTTCCTTAATAAAAACAGCATCTGAAACACAACAATTTTGCTGCCAGCCAGTTCTTGAGTAGCACTTTTCATCCTTGTCATTGCACAAAGAGCATCCTTATGAAGAACAAAATTAGCATCTTAAGGACACAAATGAGAAGCTTGACTTGTTCTCAAACACAATTTGTCTGCAAGGTCCTGGTTTTCAGAGGGTGCACAAAGGGCTTGCAGCGCACCAAAAGCTGAGGCAGATCCTTTGGGATGGCAAAGCAGAGGACCCCAAGGAGCCGTAGGACGAGACAGCAAGCCAAGCCAACAGCTCACTGCCACCAACAAAGGCTTCTCCCTTCTCACTTCCCTCCCAGAGAGGCCTGTCCCCGTCCCTCGCACCAGCCATGCTACCCAGCCACGTCTACAAGCAGAATCAGCACGTGAAGGCGGACGAAAACTCAGTCAGGGACAATCCCTTCAACAGCAACAGCAAGATGTTAGACTGCCTCAAACTCAACCAGACCCCATCTCACCCCTTCCATAAATAAGTCTGTCACTGAGAAGACCAACCCCAATGTCTTTGAGCATATCCTGGTCCTTATTCTGCTGCCTTATTAGTCCCCTCTACTGAATCTGCAGCAGCTTCTCAAGGACTCAGGAGTTTCACATTTTGCAGAGCACAGCAAGACACAACTCACCTGGTTAACACTTTAGTGTGGGTATTGATTACACCCAGGGCTTCCTTGAAGTTCCCATTCTGGATAAGACACACTACTTTACACTGAAGTGCTGTCACGTCGTCTTTGTTGATCTGCAGTACTGGAGGAGAAACCACAATGATCCAACTCAAGCACACCCAGGCTTTGTAAGAGACTCATACCAACAGAGCTGCAAAAACCCATCCTAGAGAGTGGCCACATCAACTTACAGCATCCTGGCACGGCTTGCTTGGCTCAGATCATAAACAAACCCCAGCAGGGTAAAAGAATCCAGCACAGATCCTGAACTTACCAGAAGCATGCACTGTGCTAACATGTCTGGAAGAGAGCGGCTCCAAAGGGGCGAAACACACCTGGGCAAACCTTTCCCTGGCATTCCACTGCCCGGCAAAGAACACTGCCAAGGCCCCAGTGCCACGTAAAGGACACTCAGCAAGGAAAACAGCTGGTACAGAAGAACAGTGTGGCTTGTCAGGGAGTCACTCTACACGCTAAAATTTTCTGCCCGTGGATGGCAGTGAATGGGAACTGGAAGAGGGGCATGGGTTTTGCTATTTCATTTTTTTCAGGGATGCCAGCTTTTCCAGGACAGGAGATAAATCCCTACCGCCTACCAGCAGCAAAGACAGAACTTATAACCACGACGTGCCTGACACTGCAATCCCGTTTTGGATGCCTAGCCACCAAAACAACACACCTCAACGTGAACTCTCCGTTTCCAGCAAGTTGTTGCTCCCAAGTCAGTCAGTCCATATGCACAACACCACTCCTCCAGCTCCCGGGGGAAAAGCCCTCCTTCCTCCCACGAGCAAAACGGAAGGAAAGCCCACGAGCAACTCCGAAAGCTTAACCCACGGCAAGGGATGCGCGATGCAACACAAGGGCCCGATGGTCACGGTGCGGCAGCGGAGCCTGCGCCCCTGCCGCCCCTCCTCCCTCTGCCCCAACACAGCAAGAGCCCCGCAGCCTCTGCCCGCAGCGCCGCTCCCGGCACGAAAGCCACGGACGGACACCACCCGCTCCCGCCACACCGAGCGACCCTCCACAAGGCCAACGCGCCCGGGCACAGACCGCAGACCCGCGGGCCGGCACTGTCGCCGCACTCACTCTTATTGACGGACTTGAGTGCGCGGGCGAAGTCGCCGTTCTGGCCGCAGCGGTTCACCTCGCTCCACAGCCCCGCCGCCGCCCCCGCGGCCGCCGCCATCTTGGCCCCGGGACTAGACACACGTCGCGGGGGCGGCGCCGCGCCGGAAGCGGAAGTGCCGAGCGGGGCCCCGCCCCCGAGCGGCGCTCGTGCCCTTCCGGCAGCGCCCCCGGGCGGATGCACAACACCACTCCTCCAGCTCCCGGGGGAAAAGCCCTCCTTCCTCCCACGAGCAAAACGGAAGGAAAGCCCACGAGCAACTCCGAAAGCTTAACCCACGGCAAGGGATGCGCGATGCAACACAAGGACCCGATGGTCACGGTACGGCAGCGGAGCCTGCGCCCCGGCCGCCCCTCCTCCCTCTGCCCCAACACAGCAAGAGCCCCGCAGCCTCTGCCCGCAGCGCCGCTCCCGGCACGAAAGCCACGGACGGACACCACCCGCTCCCGCCACACCGAGCGACCCTCCACAAGGCCAACGCGCCCGAGCACAGACCGCAGACCCGCGGGCCGGCACTGTCGCCGCACTCACTCTTATTGACGGACTTGAGTGCGCGGGCGAAGTCGCCGTTCTGGCCGCAGCGGTTCACCTCGCTCCACAGCCCCGCCGCCGCCGCCCCCGCGGCCGCCGCCATCTTGGCCCCGGGACTAGACACACGTCGCGGGGGCGGCGCCGCGCCGGAAGCGGAAGTGCCGAGCGGGGCCCCGCCCCCGAGCGGCGCTCGTGCCCTTCCGGCAGCGCCCCCGGGCGGAGCGCGGCCGTGGCCCCGCGGCCGCTGTGGGGGAACCGGGGCTGCTGTGGGGGAACCGGGGCTCTGCGCCTGGGGAGCGAGGGGCTGGAGCAGCGCTGCAGAAAGGGAGCTGGGGGCCCTGGTCCATGGCACTGAGTGTGAGACACTGAGCCCCGGCAGCCAGGAGGGCCAGCCCTGCCCTGGGGGATGTAATCAGGGACAGGGCTTTTTGTTCACTAAAGAGTTAACTAGAAGATATACCACAGGATGTGAGCAAAAGGGCGAAGGACAAGTTATTGTCTAAACTTGCGCGGCTGTTGTTTAACTTTCCGGTTTGCACCCGCGTAACCACCCCCCAGTTTCAGGAAGAGCCATAAGGGAAGGTCAGTCAGGACATCCGAGGAAGACCAAGAGCCTTCATCCCACGACCACCAGATGGCAGATAAAGACCCCTGGCACCAAGGGAGCGCATGCGCAGAGTACTCCTGAGGACCACACGTCAACAGGAAAGGGGAGGATATAAAAAGGAAGGACTGAAAGTGCCCCTGTGTGAAAGTTGGTGGGGCCCAGCGCTGATTAGCTTATGCCTTGATTGCTGTAGTCAGTAAATTCCGATTTGATTCTATCGAAACCGTGTCGCAGTTTATCACAATTTGGCGCCGTGACTCGGATGGGACTGGTGCGGTGACACGGACTCATTGGGGAGGCGCCCACCATTGGCCTCGGTGGGTCCCCTCACCCTACTGCCACCGACGAACCTGAATTCAAGGCATTAAGCAAAGGTGACCGGTCGACCCTGTAAATTTTGTGCACAAAGGTCCGGACGAAGACGCGGGACGCGTGAGTATCCGTGCGGGGTTCCGCTCGGTCGGGGTCGGGTATCCTGCAGTGCTGCGAGTGGTGTCGAGTGAGAGGGGAGCCGGCAGCTCGGTCTCCCCAAGTGAGTGTGGACCCTCAGTAGTGTGGTTCCCATTGCCCGCGAGAGCGTGGGCCACGAACCAGGGGAAGCGAGTGAATTTGCAAACTAAAGTGTTTTGAGTGCACTCCAGAGGATGGGGCAGGGGAAGAGCAAGCCCTCTGTACCCGAGAAACTTCCCCCAGTGCCAAGGGATAGTCCACTGGGACTTATGCTAAATAATTGGAAACATTGCCCTAGCACAGGGCGTAAAGATAAGGCAAAAATGATTCATTATTGTATAGAAATAGTGGAAATAATGCGGCAGACCAGGAGGCAAAAAGGGCAGCATTATTGACAATATGACAAGCCCAGGATGAGGATTTAGTAAAATGGATAAAGCAATGCCCTTGCCAGCCCTGCCAAGAGGATCCGTTAGGGGAGAAGGAGTGCCGCACTTGTGGGGACGGCGACCCCTTTGAGGGAAAGAAGAAATGCCCCTGCTGGAACTGCAGAGAAGATCCGTTGAGGGAAAGAAAGAAAGAAATGCAGCACTTGCGGTGACAATCTAGAGGAACTCCCCTGTTATCATTGCTGGAAGGAGTGGGGGTTTGATGCCGTAAAGTGTGCCTGTGATGGCCCAACAGCCAAACATCGTCATTTACATGGGGAAGTCTGGCGAGTTTATAGCTTCACAGTACAAGAGAGAAAAATTATCCCAAATGGGGCTAAAAGAAAATTCAAAGAAAGATTGGAAACTCCCAGATGGGAGAACTGTGTTACCAAAGTCAGTAGCTCTAGAAATTTTACAAAGATTGCACAGTCAAACTCATTGGGGAACACAGGCACTGGCAGACCAGTTTGCGGCTAAATACATGTACATAGGGATATACAACCTAGCCAAGCAAGTAGTCAAGGGATGTATAACTTGTCTTAAAGTAAATAAGGCACACCTGAGGGAGTGCCCCCTGAGAGGAAGACCCCTTGCCTATAGACCTTTTGCTAACATACAATTAGATTTTACCGAACTACCCAAGGCAGGGAGATATAGATATCTGTAATGGTAATGGTAGACCACGTGACGCACTTTGTTGAGGCATTCCCCACTGCAAGGGCAACAGCACAAACAGTGGTAAAGATATTGCTAGAAAACATTATTCCTAGGTATGGAGTCACTGAAACAATTGACTCCGACAGAGGACCTCATTTTGCATCCAAAGTTATCAAAGAGGTTATGGCAGTCTTAGGAATAAAATGGGAACATCATACTCCTTGGCACCCCCAAAGTTCGGGGAGGGTTGAAAGGATGAATGGGGAAATAAAGAAGCAGCTAACAAAACTTATGCTAGAGACCAAGCTATCCTGGCTTCAGTGTTTGCCATTAGCACTATTGAATATACAGACTCAACTGAGAGCTCCCCGTTTGAAATGCTGTATGGAATGCCCTATAATTTAGAGGAATCACAAGATCATCCCAATTTTAGGGACCAACATATAAATATTTACATGGAAAGAAACCTCACTAACTCCACAGTGGGAAGGTCCTTATCTTGTATTGCTTACTACAGAGACCGCAATACGGACGGCTGAAAAGGGATGGACACATGCCAGCAGAATTAAGGGACCAGTGAAGGAGCCATCATCCGAGTGGCAGATAACTAGCCCTCCTGGGGACTTGAAACTGAGAATTCGCAGAAAAGACTGTTAATGACCACATATCGGATTGAATATCTCCCGAACCCACACTATGTAAATAAGGGACTGATTAGTAATCTGGATGTTAGAATAAGGTATGGAAATCTAGATTGTAATTGTTATCCATTTGTAGGCTACATATGTAAAGTGTGTGGGGAAAAGTGGTGAATTCATTGTAGGCGGGGGATTCCACTGAAGGGAATCTGCACCCCTTGTTGGACCCTTCAACGCAAAATAACCAATTGGGTGTTAGCTTATAAAGTCTTGAAGGGAATTGGACTTGGAATTGGAAGAGTGGTGGGAGATATACACCAAAGGGGTTGAGCCAAACTTCTATTGCTGCCACTCTAATGAGCCAACCCCCTTTGCAGCTGAAATTACTAAGGCCATTTGTCGCAAGTACCTGAAAGAGGTCCAGTGCTACACTCCTGGAATTAAGGACTCTAATTGGAGTGCCTATATTGAAAGGCAGAGGGCTATAAGAGCTCGTTCTAGGGAACCTCCTGAAGAATACCCCTGCTGCCGAGAAGATGGTACACCTCATGGCTCGAAGCAACCGAGTCGACAAGCGAGGCAGAGGAGTAAGCAAGTGTGGAGGAAAGAGCCCCCAAACTGGGATATTAGAGCAATGCTCAAAGAACTGCCCCAGGAGTGAGACTAAAAATCCTAAAGATCCTCAATGCAACACGCGACATTTAAATAAGGGTAAGCCAATTACAAGTCAAAATTACCTACCAAATCATACCCACGCCTCCAACCATCTCCACCACTCAACCCAACACATTATTCTTTTGCTGATTATATCTTGCTTAGGAAAAGCTAATAGCGAGGACACATATCCTCATGAACCTTTTACATGGACTTTATCTAGGTGGAGTGATAACAAAGTTTTAGAAACAATCACCACTACAGGGGCACCGAGTTTCAAAGTAGGATTGTGCGATTTAACTGCCATCGAACATTGTGGTAAGGTATTGAACTTGACAGGATTCTATATGTGTCCAAGTGCGAACCGAGAAAAACCGTATTGCAATTATCCAGGGGAATGCTTTTGTGGGTACTGGGGATGTGAGACCATAGCCTCCCACTGGACACCAGGGGGGGGCCCCGACTCACACATACAAGCGGGGTTTGGACCAGCCAAATGCACTAAACAAACCTCGGCATATCTAGGTAATTGTGCATTTGTCTATATAAATGTCACTCAGCCGGGAGACCAAGGGTGGCTCTTAGGGAAAACCTGGGGAGTGAGGCACTGGGAACCTGGAAAAGATAGAGGAAACGTAATACTAATTAAGAAAGAGAAAGCCCCAAACGATCCCCCAGAATTAATAGGGCCAAATAAGGAACTGGGAGGATTAGACGGAGTGATTAAGGACCCGCAGAATATCTCCTGGGAATCTGAAAACAAAACAGCCACCCCACAATGAGAAAACGTGACTATGAAAGCAGGGTCAGAATATAGTGAATATAGTACCCTATAGAAAGTTATGCAAGCTAGTTACGGAATTCTGAACAAAACAAACCCTGAGTTGACTAAGGAATGCTGGTTATGTTACAACATTAGGCCACCGTTTTATGAAGGCATTGGGGTAACATTAGAGGCAAAAAGAATAAATGGAACAAACCCATCACAATGTCTTTGGAAACGAAAGAAAGAAGTGTCCCAGGGATTAACATTATCTCAAGTTACTGGGAAAGGGAGATGCATAGGAAACATTCCCAAAGACAAAGAGCATTTATGTGGGGTAATTATACTACAGAAACAAGAAGAAAAACCGGCCAACTGGCTATTGCCAGCCACAAACACCAGATGGATTTGTTATAACATAGGGATTACACCCTGCCTCTCGCTAAAATTATTCAACCATACCCATGATTACTGTATCCAAGTATCCATAATACCTAGGATTACGTACCACTCCAGTGAATATATATATAAACAACACACCTCAGCGGATCACCACTTAGAGAAAAGAGAGCCCCTTACCGCAATAACTATAGCAACCCTCCTTACTATAGGAGGAATTGGAGCAAGCACTGGAGTAGCCTCCCTGGTGACCCAGCACAAGGAATTTAGAGAATTAAGGATTTCAGTCGACGAAGTCCTAAGCAGGATAGAACAAGCAATTGACGGATTGGTAAAATCAGTACGATCCTTATCGGAGGTAGTCCTACAAAATAGAAGAGGATTAGATTTGTTATTTTTGCAACAAGGAAGACTGTGTGGGGCACTAAAAAAGGAATGTTGTGCCTATGCTGACCATACTGGGGTTGTTGTAGCTACTATGGCAGAATTAAGGAAGTGATTGGAACAAAGGAAAAAGGAAAGGGAGGCACAACAAAGCTGGTATGAGTCGTGGTTTAACTACTCACCCTGGCTAACCACTCTGCTCTCAACCACAGCAGGGCCATTGATTTTACTAATACTAGGACTGACTTTTGGGCCATGCATATTCAATAAATTAATCTCAATTGTAAAGGGGCGCTTAGAGGCCGCACACTTGATGCTTGTCAAAACAAAATATGAACAATTACCAGAAGATGAAACGTTGGAATTAGCTAAGATGGAGCTACAGAGGTTTAGTGAACAAAAATGAACAAAAGACAAAAGGGGGATTGTAATCAGGGACAGGGCCTTTTGTTCACTAAAGAGTTAACTAGAAGATATACCACAGGATGTGAGCAAAAGGGCGAAGGACAAGTTATTGTCTAAACTTGCGCGGCTGTTGTTTAACTTTCCGGTTTGCACCCGCGTAACCACCCCCCAGTTTCAGGAAGAGCCATAAGGGAAGGTCAGTCAGGACATCCGAGGAAGACCAAGAGCCTTCATCCCACGACCACCAGATGGCAGATAAAGACCCCTGGCAATAAGGGAACGCATGCGCAGAGTACTCCAGAGGACCACACGTCAACAGGAAAGAGGAGGATATAAAAAGGAAGGACTGAAAGTGCCCCGGTGTGAAAGTTGGTGGGGCGCAGACTCCTATATGGCCCAGCACTGATTTTCTTATGCCTTGATTGCTGTAGTCAATAAATTCCGATTTGATTATATCGAAACCGTGTCGCAATTTATCACATGGGACAGCAGGCACAGCCAGGCAAGGGAGGGCATTGTCCTGCTCTGCTCTGCACTGGGGCAGCCTCACCTCCACTGCTGGGGCAGCTCTGGATGCTACAGCAAAAGAGACCCTGAGCTGCCAGAGAGTCCAGAGGAGCAGCAGGGATGGCAAAGGGCCTTGAGGGGAAGCCGTGTGAGGAGTGGCTGAGGTCACTCGGTCTGTTCAGCCTGGAGCAGAGCAGACTGAGGGGAAACCTCACTGCAGTTACAACTCCCTGGTGAGGGGAAGAGGAGGAGTAGACACTGATCTCTCTCTGTGGTGACAGTGACAGGACCTGAGGGAATGGCCTGAAGCTGGGGTCAGGGGCAGTTTGGGTTGGATATCAGGAAAACGTTCTTCACCCAGAGGGTGGCTCGGCACTGGAACAGCTCCCCAGGGAATGGTCACAGCTCCAAGCCTGCCAGGGCTCAAGACGCTTTTGGGCAATGCTCTCAGGCAGCTGGTGTGACTCTGGGGATCGTCCTGCACAGGGACTGGAGCTGGACTTAATCATCCTGATGGGTCTCTACCAGCCCATTGTCAATGATTCTACTGATTTCATTTGCTTTTATGAAAAAGCTCTGCAGATGTAGCACCTTAGTTATTGCTAAATAGCTCCACTCCCAATGTCTTAACCAAAGTGAGTGTGTGTGGAGAGGGAAGGGGTGATTGATCATCCCAAAGGATTTTCTACCAACTCCAATTACTTTCTTCTGCCAAAAGACTGGCATCAGTCATCAGTTTTCAAATTTATGAAATGTCATGATTAAAAATATCACAAAGTCTGTGTGGTTCTTTAAAATAAAAATTGCAGAGTTATAAATACATCAGTTAAGGCAACCATCACTTTGTATAACACCACCAACATTTCAGGATTTGGCTTTCAAACAGAAACTGAAGGAAACACTGTAATGTGAGATACAACCAACAAAGTCAGCTCAGTGCAACTTGGACACTGGAGCCTCTCTTTATAAAGCAGTCCCGGGTAAAAACCACAAATACTTGCTCTGAAGGATTAGTGAGCAGTCTCATGTCATCTCTTCCACAGGAGTAACAACCACATTAAATAAAGGAAAAAGAACAATTAATACTTTAAACAAAATACTCTTTTTATTAGAGTATTTTTGATTAAACATACAGAACTCAAGATTGCTATTTAAAATTTGTATCGCTCAAAGTTTTTCCCTCTAGAAGGATGATAAGACAATCTCAGTGCATATTATATGGAAGAATCATACCTCTCAACTGTCCTGCTCATGAATCAGGGCAACACTGTATGTGCTTGGTATGCAAGCAAGGAGGGAGTGCTGTAATGCAATTAACAAAAAATACACCACCAACACAGAGTCAGCTCCATGACCGGTGATCCAGAGAGTAGCATCATGTGGCTTCAGGAATAAAGGAGAAAACAGTTCCTGACCATGAAAATGTAACAGGTAATAGACATATTTGTACAAGTCCTAGGCATTCCTCCTCTGTAAGGACTGCAGAGGACTGCGAGTTTAGCCACTGGTTTGGAGGATTTTTTTAAGCGTCCATTGTACTCGGGGCATGGGTGCAGAAATCTTGCAGAAAAAGGGAAAGAAACACATGATCCTACAGCCCTTGTGCAGCTCCAAACACCACCATCCACCAGCCTGGTGAAGCACTTGGTTCTGCTTGAAATACGTCTGCTCTGGAGCCTTGGCAGCTGCTTGTTCCTCTGTTCCACACACAGGACGTTAACAAAGCAGTGTGTTGAGGTACCCACACCCCAGCTACCCCCATCTGCCAGTATCAGTTCCTGGAGCACACCCCATTGCTATCAGACTTTGTATACTCATATACATTTATGAACATATATATATATAGGCAAACTTCATACTTCATTTACATCCGCACACAAATACTACAGCCAAGACCTACAGTTCTCTGCCTTTTCATACTGTTGAGCAAACCTAAGCTTTCAATTACACATAGTTAAGTTTCACAGACTTATTTTTAAAGAATTGAAAAATACAGATTAGAATACAGATTAGAAGTAAGTTTGGTCAAGGTCATCACTGCACGTGGTACAGGCAAACCTGGTTAAGTGGTACTCATCAACTGTGTTGTGATGGAATGTCCAATGGCAGATTTCTTCAAATGAAAAATCTGGACAATTGAGAGGTATGCAGAAAACTTGTCTTAAATACTTGAAGCTACATGTGCAATCTTACAGAACACAAGGTACAGTTACAGACATAACAGTAAATCTTATTAACCAACAGTACATAAGAACTTAAAAACAGTCAGTGAAATCAGTTCAGCAAGTGACTTCCAAAAAAGTCGTGCCTCAGCTGCAAGGAAAAAAAAAAACGGGGGGAGGGGGACGGGAAAACTCAGGCAAGTTTGTATGGATGGCCACTGCATGACAAAGTTTTAATCTACATTTTAAAAGCTCATTTATTATATATTTTTATATATATATATATGCTATGTATAAAATAAATTAAAAAGGGGAGGAGCAAATAGCTTTGTATATGGTTCAAATTAACATAGACCAGTAGTTCCATAAATGAACATTTTACCATCTTTGTGGTAAAAAGTTGACATAAAAGTTCAAAACCATACAATGCTTATAAATAGAAAGAGTTCAAAAGATACTTTTTTTTAAAAAATGGAATCTGAACATAATTTTCTCTTCCCCTACAATACACTTCAGTTTTGTACATCAGCATCAATACATTTACAGAGTATTTGAATGTCACATCCACAGAATCTGTAACAAAGCAGGCAAAAGATCTAGTGATGTTAAAATTTAGGACTTTTCTCCCAAATAACTCTACCTACTCCTCAGCCTTCTCCTGAAATGAAGGCTATCAACATTCATCACCCAGTCTGAGGTATGGGCAGAAGAAAACCTGCAACCAGTACTCTCCAACCCACCTTGCCTCTGCTAAAATATAGCAACAATCTATTGATCTGATAATTGGCAATGGTGGTGGACAATCTCTTACTTCCATTCAGCTTGTATATAATTTAATCTTGGTATTAAAAAAAAAAAAAAAGAAACATAGTACTAATGCTTAGCTTAAAAAAAAAACCCACCAACAAAGAAAAACCCCACCAAAACCCCCCAACTTTAAATCTTTGAAACTATGTTTAAATGTTGTTCCTGGTTTAAAGCTTCACACAAAACATTGGACAGAAGGATGACAATTTTAAACCAAGAGAGCACCTAAAAACATACCATAGGTAAAAATGAAATCAATCATCTCTCCACTTCATAAAAACGTAGAAACCCTGTCAGCAACAGTAGTACACTCAGAACGAACAACGTCAAAAGGAGCATCTAGAATACTCAAGAGGCTTGCTATGCTACTTCTCTTTATTGCCCATTCTCTCGTTTGTATGGATGGCCACTGCATGACAAGATGCCTGTGGATAGTTCTCACATCTTCCTTTCACCACTGCTGCCAGCTGAAGTCGTCATTGCTGCCAAAGACCAAGAAAAATCCTAGGATGGTGGCAAAGATGACTGTATTCCCAGTGAGAACGAGTGCACACGCGCCCCAGTAGATCTGTGAACAGGGGGAATTCAGTTAGACACGCTTGGAGCTGAACACCAACAAGACAAAAGGTAACATCTTATTGTCTCATTCTCGACAAAGTTCAGTAAGACATCCATGATGCAAGAGGCAATACCTCATTTATTTGTGGATACACCAAGCAGGCTGGGTTTACCCAAAATTACTTGACAAATTCACAGCCAGCCATGCAGCACTGCAACTTTCTTCTAGCTGTACTCAAAGCACTGGCTAGCAGGCACAACTGGTTTGGTATGCAAAGTAAGGCTAGACAACAGCATCAAACACATCTGCAGCCCAGCTATGCTGTAAGACTTTTTAAAACAGGTATTTAAGGTCTTCAAAGTGCCACCAGATATCCCAGTAACAAAAAAGGAGGTGGATGTTTTCACAGGAGAGTAAGTGGATTACTCAAAGGGTGTGAGGCATTCCAGCTGCCCATCTGAGCTGTTCTTGCCTAAAGACATTTATGAAAGTGCACTCCATGGTTTTTTACTTGGTAGTGCTTTCTGACATTCACACAAACAAAGTGAACTTTTAAAGTATTTTAGTGAAAATCTGTATACTGGAAATATGTAATGAGAACTTGGAAGTTTAAGAAATGATACCAATATCACTTGCAATATCATTTACAGTGAGTATAAAAATGCTTTTTTTTTTCTTTGTTCATGCTGCTTCAGCCCAGCTATTCCACAAATTTGTCTTTGAAGTATGCTTTACAATTCTATATTTAGTTACTTCCCTGTTAAGTTTTCACAGAATTTTCTGTCTCATTTTCTCTGCATTGCATTGTCAGGCTTTATTCCTTGACCACGTGAAGCAATTGGCAATCACAATGTTCTGCCATGCTCCCATTTCTGTATTGATTTTTCTTGCAAAAAAAAAAAATCTTGTTCTGGTTCCAAAAGTATATAATTTTAAGAGTTATTTAGTGCATGAAAGCTTTACCATCAATAAACAAACAAACACAAAGAATAAAGTTTTCTAGAAAAAAAAAAAAGGCAATCACAGGTTGAAACTCTACTAACCAGTTCTGCTCTTGCAAACACTATGGGCAGCCCAAATGCTGAGACCACAATGCCTGTTGTAAGGAATATGGCCAGCTCCTTGCAGGCATTACTTGTAGCATCCGTGTCATCTACCAATCTTCTTGCTATGCAGTACGGGATAGGAGAGAGGATGTAAAAAAACAGAACAAACAGTGGCCAGTACTGGCTGAAAAAGAAAGGAGAAGAAAAGTTTTAGTTAACTGGATTTACTTCCTGCTCCTCCTAAAATCAATGCAAGGCATTTCCCCATCCAGCATCCCCATTTAGGAAGACAGAGAAGCCCAGAGAAGGCAAATCCTTTGCCTTGGAATGAGCTGACATTAATCCAACAGACTGTGAGGCTTCAGCTGACCTCAGAGGCAGCAGAGCTCACTAACAGGATATTCACAAAGCAAGATTTCACTAAGCAAGCCTAAATCTAATGCCACCTCACAAGGTGAGCCTAACTCCAAGTTTATCCTGTCAGTTGTACTTTAGAGACACCCTTGCAGCACCCCAGACTAGAGTTCAGGCACACAAAGGCAGGTGCACTTTGTTTTACTGCATTGTTTGAAGGGCAACTGTGTAAGGGTCTCCTTCCCCAGGTTTCTGTCACTAGCACTGGCTTCATAACATAAGAAAGCTGGCCCAGGAATTCATATATGCATGAAATTCATGTATGTCATACATGTAGATATAGTCATATATGCAGAAACTGCAATCCACAACCAATAACAGGTCTATCAACAGGATGCTTGGTATTTATTCAACAGCGAACAACTCAATTTAAAATATTTTCTGTGAAGTCAGCATTCACTTGCAAAGAGTCAAAGCCATAGGCCTCTCTATCTGAGCACTTGTGCTGCTTTGTATCTCCTGAAAGACAGGAGACAGGAATCCGTGTCGGGGAAGAACAGACAGCAATTACTGGAGATGCTACATTACAGGTGTGGGGCACAGCCAAGGATCCCCGTGACAGTCACCGCCAGCCCAGCTACCCCTAGGCAGGCACAGAAAATGCAACCCTGTCCCCGGATGCCCCACACCTGCTGCCCACCTCGGGAGCTGCTGCCGTCCCAGGGTCAGCCACAGCGGGACAGCAGCCCGCAGCCAGGCAACGCATCCTTTCAGGCCTGCAGCCAGCCTGGAAGTGCAACTTTTGCTGCCATTGCTCTTTAGGGTTAATTAAATCCTGGATGCTCTTTATTTTTATTCCCACCCCAACCTTTTGAAGCAAGAGCAAAAAAAGCCCAACCAACCAAAAAAAAACCCCAACACCGAAAAGACCTGAGGCCCCTGCTGCACAGACAGAACTTATCAAAGCTCCACTATGGCAGCGGGACCCCTCTGCAGTGAGAGCCGCCCGAAGAAGAAGCAGAACAGAGAGAGCACGGTACTTGTACTGGGGCAGGGCGCATCCGAGCATCAGGAACATCAGTCCGACCGCTCCCCCGAAGGACAGGCTGATCAGCGCTGCAACGAGAACAAACCCGACCAGCGTGAGGGCGGCAGCGCACCGCGCACGGCACCGCCCGCCGACCGGCGCGGCCCCGGCCGCCCGGCGGCACTCGGGGCGCGCACCTTTGATCCCCGCCATGGCGCCGCCCGTCCCGCCAGCCGCGCGGCACCGGAGAGGCGCGCGCCGGGAGCCGGAAATGCCGCGCGGAAGCGGAAGCCGCTTCCGGCGAGGAGGAGGGCCCCGCCCCGCCCCTCCCGGCCCGGCCCCGTGACGCTCATACGTGGCGCGCGCGCAGGGCCCGCGGCGGCAGCCCCGCCCCCTCACGGAGCGCGGCGAGCGCCCCGCCCTCGCCGCCCATTGGCCCCGCGGCGC